AATCACATGATCCTCAAGCAGACAAGCGTTCGTTCTCCCACACTGAACATCACTCCACAGATATATATAACTCCCTTGCCTCATTTCCAACACAAATGTCAACCTCTGAGGATGCCTGCCATAGATGTGGGCAAAATGTCAGGAAAGAATGCTTCTTGAGACCTTCCTTCTATACCTGGAACGTCCTCTTCCACCAAGCGCGCAGCTTCGGGAGGGACTCACATGGAGCAGTGAGGGAGGAAGGGGACACCTGCCTAGCCAGCTAGATCATCCGAATCAACCCTGGCGATCAATGAGGTGACAGATGTCGCAGCCAGATCACCCTCACATCCATAATAAAATGTTGTTGTTGTTGAGAATGCTTTTGGAACATGGCCAGACAGCCTGGAAAACTCACAGCAACCCTCTTCCAACCGCCTCTTGTTACTTTTGTGTTTTCCTTGGGGAAAATCCTTTTTCCCCTTGAGAAGCTGAACACAGGTGCCATTGATATTTCTTTGCTCATCACTAGCACTTCACATTGAAGCAATAAGCAAGCGCTCCTTTACGACCAGCATTTATGGCTTGTGCATTACATTTTGGCTTCAACGCACAACACAGTAGCCAAGAGGAGGCATTCACGAAAATAAAAACAGACAAAACACAGCAAGGTCATGCTTTCATGCAAAGAGCCCCATATCAGCAACTGATCTGGGTTGAAATTACTAAATCCCTACTCTTTTCATATTCTTTCTGAAATGACTGCATGAGTTGTGCTGATTGAAAAATGTATTAATTTGGGTGGCACCACAAAAAAAGGAGCCTTATATTTATAAGAAACCAAATGATGAACATCTTGTTTACTGCTTTTATTTTTTGTTTGTTGGGTTTTTTAAAAAACGCTAATACCTTTGTCAAGCAATGGAGAAAATCAGCTTGCTGTTGTTGTGTGTGACTTGGTGTAAATAGGGAAGCCCCGTGTGGTTTGCTCCTCTTGTAGAGCATGAAATTAACTTTGTCTCCAGAAGGAGGGTGACCTCACCAGGAATGATGTAATCCCAAAGAAGGAAAGCAGCAGCAACACAGGATCTGGGTGACAATTTGCGGAACACCATGAGCAAAGTCCGTCTCTAAATTAGTAAGGGACGGCAGCACAATCAAAGGATTTCAGAACATTTCCTCAAAGCTTATTCATGAGTGGGAGCAGTTGCTGTTACGAGGTTCCACCCCAATGTTCCCCTTTCAGCAGTAGGTTCCAAATTAACTCTTTGGGTAAGAAGTGTATTAAACATAGAGGGTTATGATAAACATAGGCAATGTTTGTTTTTTTCCTGCAAAAAAGGGAACACTGGTTGAAGTCACACCACACAGTTAACATGAACGCTCCAGATTTTGATGTTTCATACCAAGTAGGAACCCAGACTCACCAACTCCAATTCATCCTCCTCCGACTGTACTCAGCAAACAAGAAGAATAATACAGTTACTAAGAATAGGACAGCATTCAAGAATGAAAGAGTCATGCTGATACTTGAAGAGTCGGCTATATTTAGCCTCGCTAGTATTTTGAATTTACAATGTGATTCAGTAAGCAGACTCGTGTCACGTGCAACACAGCGATTTCGCAGAAAGCTCTGCTAGCCAGCCTGACAAAAACCCTACACACAACTGGCCCAAACTTTCTAAGAGCAAAGGAATACTGCGCTCACCAGCAACAGTGTCCGTTTCTTGTGATGCCTACTGCAAACATTTTTAAACCAAAGAGCATGGTGAGTTCTGCTAAGCTGTTTTGGAAGCTCACCATTTGGCTGATGCAGAACAATGAGCCAAAGCAAGCTGAGATTCCCAGTACGGACTCAACCGACAACTCAGAACCTTGTGAGAGCTTGAGGAAACGTAGAATTATGTAACTGAGGTGAGGTGCTCTTCTGACTTGCACCACAGTCGACATGAGGACGAAATGGCCCTCGAGGTCCCTTGCAACACTATGGAATTAACCAGCCAGGATGAGGGAGGAAAGTTGCTTTGTGCCTCCGGGACTAAGAAATAACAGGAAGCATACCTATAACTGTGATTCTTTGAATTTATGAATAGACACATAGAGGTCCCTTGTGCCTGTACAATGCACATTTGGAAACTCTTGGTAGGAGTCCCGTTCGTTCTCAGTCCACACATATATTGTATCTCGTGCCTTTCTCTTCCATTCTGTGTCAGAAGAGATAAGTGGCACAAGAAGAGCAGACATGGAGAAGTTACACAAATTTACATTTGATCCTTCAAAGAACCACAGCAACAAGTAAGCAACCTGTTCTTCTTCTTTGTGGTCACCTGTAACCATTACTCACCAAATGAAAGCGGGTGGGTCATTCCAAGGTGGATGCAAGAACTGCTCTCTCAACATCAACATCTACTCTGACCACATTATTGAATGGATATACAGTGATCCCTCACTTATCGCGGGGGTTACATTCCATGACCCCCCGTGATAAGTGAAATACCGCGATGTAGGGACACTCCCTTCCCACTCCAAGGTGGATGGAAGAACTGCTCTCTCAACATCAACATCTACTCTATTCATTACCGAATGAATATACAGCGTTCCCTCACTTATCGCGGGGGTTACATTCCATGACCTCCCGTGATAAGTGAAATACTGCGATGTAGGGACACTCCCTCCCCACTCTCTCTCACACTTTTTTTCTCTCCTCTTTCCCCTCTCTTCCTCCTTCCCTTGGGTGCTCATGCCTCCCTCTCCTGGCAAGAGGGACACTTTCTCCTGTGTTGCCCACCTCCTCCTCGCCTTCCCTCCCTCCTTGTCTTCCTTCTTCCTCCGCTTTCCCTTCTGAGGCTGTGGGAGAAAGAAGAGGAGGAGGAAGAAGAAGATGCTGGGGCTGGGGAGGAAATGAAGGGAGCTGCTGGAGCCGCTGCACCTTCAACCAAATCTATTCCTGCAGAAGTAGTACGAGCAAGTGAGAGGGAGAAGCAGCAGGAAAGTGGAGGAGGAAATTTCTTTCTCCTCCGCTTTCCCGCCTCTTCTCCCTTTCACTCGGCTTGGGATGCACAAACCAGAAATTACAGATGTCTCACGGTATAATCAATCACAAAAGTATGAAGACAAATTCAAAGCAGCAGTAAAAGTAAGAAGAAAGGGCAGAAGCCTCCCCTTTTTTACCTATATTCCAAAACATGACCTCCCTTTCCTACTCATTTGGAAACAAGAAAATGCTCATCAAGACAACCAGTATGGCGGAGAAAAAGAAGCTGAAAAGATAGTTTTGTCTAATTGTATCTCCCCATGCAGACATCCTGGGCACTGCAGTCAACGAAGAAGGCCCTCCTCTCAGTCCTACTCTTGTCACAAGCTCAATTGGTGGGAATGAGAGAGGGGGCCTTCTCCGTGGCTGCTCCCCGTCTCTGGAACTCCCATCCTAAAGAAGTGAAAATGGCTTCTCTCCTCCTCTCCTTTAAAACACTTCTAAAAAGACACTTTGGCATACAGAGAAGAGGGGGACTAAAACGCATTACCCACTGGGAATGCTGGTCAATTCTATATGCACTATATGGCTGCTACGGTACATCTTAAAGGAACTCCCGCGCCAGCCATTTTCAATATAACTGCGTTTTAAACTGTTTTGATAGTATTTGTTGTAAAGTTTATTTATGTCTTAGTTAATTGTGTCTTACTGACTATTCTGTTATATTTTTTATCTCAATGCTTAATCCCTCGTGGTAAACTCACTGTTATTATTGTGCTCTATAGTGTATTTTGATGTGTTTTTTGATGTGTTTTGTACTCACGTAGACATTGAACGTCTGCTTTTTTTTGTGTAAACCACCCCGATGCCCCTCAGGCAGAGAGGGCAGTTTAGAAATAAAGTTGTATTATGACTATATTATTATAAGCCTCAATACAGCTCCATGAGCAGATGGGTTCTTAACAAGATGATGGCTCAGTTCTAGAAGGTTCCAAGTATGCATAGGATGGGCAAATCAGTTTGATAAAGCCCCAAGCTGTATTTGCCTATGATGCAAACATATTCTATCTGGATGGCAAGAGGTGCACATCCTAGCTCTGCCCTCTTCATGATGTTATGTTGTTAATGTTATATGAAAAGCAATGTTTCTTAATGCAAACCCTTCCCTTATGTATGGGCATTTGCTTCATCATTGGGTAATCTGGTTTGGAGGAAACAGAAAGGCCCAATTGCATGGACAGTTCTCACACCTAAGGACAATTCTCTTCCTCTGGTTGGTTGCTTCCTGTGTCAGAACAACAATGGAAACAGAGAGGGTAGGACTAGCTTGCTCCTCTTTTCCTATTTTGTCATAATATATCTCCATTGCTAGTCAATAAAGGTACAGAAACCACAAACAATATTCTCAGCGTTCGTTATATTGGAACACTTTCCTAGTCTGAAATGCTGTGGAAATAACCAATTCCAATTAGATGGGCCAGAATGCCAATGTTCTGCATAATCCTTTCTCTCTCCCTAAAATTGGCTCCTGAAAATTGGATCACCCTAAATATAATTTAGGCAAAGTGTTACATTTAAGGATGTCAGACAAATCCACAACGGATAAATCCACAATGGTTGCTAAGTCATGACACATAGAATCATAGAGCTGGAAGAGACCACATGGGCCATCCACTCTAACCCCTGCCAAGAAGCAGGAAAATTGCATTCAAAGCAACCCTGACAGATGGCCATCCAGCCTGTTTAAAAACTTCCAAAGAAGGAGCCTCCACCACACTCCGGGGCAGAGAGTTCCACTGCTGAACGGCTCTCACAGTCAGAAAGTTCTTCCTAAGTTCTTACAGGTGTCACAACCTGCTGTTTCAAAAAAGCAAAGAGTTCAGCACAGGATTTGCAAAGCTTCTATGAGTGTGGCCCTGCCCCCTTCACAGACCTTTGAATTCAGTTTGAGATAACATCTCTATCCGCACAGATGCGCATGGTTTACCAACAGGAGCACTTTTAAGGGCACTGTGCATAAAGAGAGAAGCAAAAAAGTCAAGCTTACCAATGGAGGCATCATGCCTTTGCTGGATGGTGGGATGACAACCCGGAGGTCTGGCTTTCGGCTGTTCATTCCAAGGTTGCCTCCTCCGGGCGGAGGGGGGGATTTGGTAGGCATCACTTTGCTCAGGCCGTTCCCACTCCCAGTGCTGCTCAGCAGGCCTGGCGAAGCTCGGGAGTTCACAAAGCCATTCCCTAAAGCAAGGAATGAGCAAAATGAGAGAGAGAAAGAGAGAGACCTGTTTTAAGCAGAAACATACACACACCTGATAGCTTTTGATCATCATTTTTATAAGGGTTCATATAGACGAGTGGTTCCCAACCTTTTTCTGACAATGGACCACTTTGACAAGGGACCACTCACTCTCCAAAATTAGTACCAAAAGGGTTACGAATCAGTTTTTGTTTGACTTTAGATTCAGTTTAGTTATTTGGGGTGCTGATTCAAAAAATTGCATTGGATAGACCTCATCAGCTCTAGTTTCTGATGCAGAACATATGCCACCCAGTAGCATATGCTGGCCTACAGAAAACCATATTTAATAAGCCTCGGCACTATAAGAGGGTTTTACGAGACCTTTGCTCTTGTTGCAAAGGTGTAGTAACTGTGAGGCTACAGACCATATTTTAATTCTTGCATACCACTGATAGTCCACAGACCACAGGTTGGGAACCACGGATATGGACACAACAGCATTCCAGGGAAATATGGCTACCCTTAAAAGCCTATTAGCAACTTACCAACAAAGAGACCAAGAATGAAGAAATCTTTATGAACCATGAATTGCCCACCACTATCAATTATCCCTAAAGCGCATTGCTAAGGAGAACAATGATAAAGCTACAAGCAAGAGGTGGGTGGACCTCCTGTCATTGTGTAGCTTCCTCGGATGTCTGCTGCTACCATCCACATCCCAGTTATTATGCTGGGAAATGAAACATACAGAGGGCAGGCACCTGTTTCCCAGCAGAATGCAAAGAATACAATTCTACCAGGGAAAAGAGGTACACATTTAATTCCATAAGTATCATGTCTCTGAGCAGAATGGCTGGGAATCTGTCTGCAGCAAGAAAATGCAGCCTCCATGAGCTCAGAAGAGACCGATGCAGCTCATCAGTCCCAAGAGTACCGTATACACTTGAATGTAAGCTGACCCGAATATAAGCCAAGGCACCTAATTTTACCACAAAAAAAACTGGGAAAACTTATTGACTTGAGTATAAGCCAAGGGTGTGAAATGCAGCAGTTACTGGGAAGAGGAAGGCGCCACTCTCGGCACAGCAAGCCAGCTGTTCTTTCATTCCCTTTTTCTTTTTTCCTTTCTTTCCTTCTCTTCCATTCCTTCTTTCCCATCTTTCCTTTTCCTGTAACTTCCCTCCCTCCTCTTTTATTTCTTTCCTCCCTTTTCTTGCTCCTTTCCTCCCTCTTTTCCTTCCTTCCTTCCTTCCTTCTCCCATTCCTCCTTTTTCCACTTCTACCTCCAATGCTCCATACAGTGCACTCCTGAATCAATGGGGAGACACTGCTTCTGGGGACCTGCCGCCGTTGCAAAGGAGAAGGGAGGCGGCAATGTGCCCCTTTTGCTCCCACTTCAGTGCGCTAGAGAGAAGAAAAAAGGCAAGCGCGCACAAAGAAGGAAGAGGAAAGGTCCTGACCCAAGTATAAGCCAAGGGGACTTTTTCTTTTTTTAAAAAAAGTTATTTTTATTTAGAATAAATTTGCTCCTTGAGGATAGGAGCAAAAAAGGAAAGTAGAATTACTGTATTTTCGTCGTGTTTACATAAAAAGAGTGGGAACAATGAAGAAGGGAAGAAGGGAAGAAGAAGAAGAGAAGGGGTGGTAAAATACTTCCAGGAAAGCATCCTATTTCTCTTGTCTTTGGTTGCTTTAATCGTCGGCTTCTTATTGATGACTCCTTTGAGTTTCGTTCATAAATTTCTGATATAAATTTCTTTATTTTCTTTTTTTTTATGAATTCCAAAAAGTCTTTCCAGTCTGTTCTATGAGGTTTTACATTATTTTGTGATTTTTTGGGTACGTCCATGTTCATGATGTCCATTGTTTTTAAAATCCATTGCTCCACTGTGGGTATTTCGTTAGACCTCCATACTCTGGCTAAAATGATTCTAGCAGCTGTTGTAAGGTAGAAGAAAATCTTTTCTGAGTTTTTATCTATTTTAAAGTCTATAATTCCTAGTAACATGGATTCTGGTTTTAATTCCAATTTTATATTTAGAATTAGTTCAATCTTCTTATATATTTCAGGCCAGTAATTCTTTATTTTCCTACATTTCCACCACATGTGGATAAAGTTACCTTTATGCTTTCTGCATTTCCAACATTCTTTTGTTTTACCCTTGCTAATCTTCGCTAATGTTTCTGGTGTTAGATATCACCTACAGAATATTTTATACCAGTTCTATTTGAGCTCTGTTGCGTATGAGTGTCTTAATTTTCCAGCCATAAAAGGGGGCTGGAAAACTCGGCTTATACTCAAGTATTTACGGTATGGCTTTTCTGCTTCCAAGGGAATGCTGAGCTGCCATCTTGCCACAACGTATAACAGCTTTGGCCAGCAGCCTTTATAACTGCATGTTCTCAAGCACTTTCCAGGATCTTTCACAACTCATAGTTCTCAATCAGAGACATTACTATAGAAAGGGTACCAAATAGCTAGAAAATGTAAGGAATGTCTAAGAGTTGAGTGATCCATTATATTTTCCAATTTAGAACAGGATGGGGTTGGGGGATGATGAGACCTTTCCATGGTGGGGGGACCAATATGCAGAGATGGCACCACTTCAGGTGCTACAGCCTCTGAATTGCCAATGAAGTTCAACTGTCAGTGAAATGTTCCAAAGCCATCTGTTCTCTAACAGAATTCACAGTTTCTTTAGCACTCTTCTCTGACACACAGTCCTTTACATTCACACATCACCAAAGGAGGAATTAGATGCTGCTGACGGTAAGAACACCAAGTACAACGGCATCTTATGTTGCCTCTGAACACCTTCACTGGCATTCATCACTGGAGGAGGAATTCGGAAGTTAAAATATTTATTCTCCTAATGAAAAAATACTATGCTTTCAATGCAGCAGCGTGGTCACTCTTAAACCTCACTGATCTTCACAGTAACTGCACTAAACTGGAAATGGACCACAACCAGAGAATGCCCACACTTATTATTTCAACACTGTCCACAGGCAGGACAGCACTGATACATAAATTTTCAATCCGCTCTTGAAGTTATTAGAAGATAACCAAGTTCATTTACTTTTTAGTGAAATTACTGATTAAGAGACTCAAAATTTTATATAAAGGAGATGTAGAATAACTCTAGAACAAGCATGGGCAAACTTCGGCCCTCCAAGTGTTTTGGACCTCAAGTCCCACAATTCCTAATAGCAGGTAGGTTATTAGGCCGTTTCTCAACCTGGTGGTCAGGAGCCCTGGGGAGGGATTACGAGGGGGTTTCAGAGGGGTTGCCAAAGCCATCAGAAAAAAATATATTTCTGATAGTCTTAGGAACCCTTTTGTCAGAGAAGGCTGAAGACCTCTCCGCCTTTTTGGAAACAGAGAGTGAATTCTCCCACCAAAAGCCCACTTCTGCTGTGATTGGCTGGCCTCTAAGGGCTGTTTCTGAGGTTCCAAGTGGTGAGGGGAGGGCAGGCATGCTCAGCACATGGCAGCATGGTGCACATGCATGGGTGGGCGAGGGAGAGTGCATGAGGTTGGTGGAAGACTCGCGCCAGCGTAACCCTTCAAGGTATGGGGTTCTATATGTCTGGCCCAATTCTCTCGTTGGTGGGTTCAGAATGCTCTTTGACAGTAGGTGAACTATAAATCCCAGCAACTACAACTCCCACAAATGTCAAGGTCTATTTTCCCCAAACTATTTTCACCAAACCCTTCCAGTATTTTCTGCTGGTCATGGGAGTTCTGTGTACCAAGTTTGGTTCAATTCCATTGTTGGTGGAGTTCAGAATGCTCTTTGATTGTAGGTGAACTACAACCAGCAACTACAACTCCCAAATGACAAAAGCAATCCATGCTCCCAACCCCAACAGTATTCAAATTTGGGTGTATTGGGTATTTGTGCCAAATGTGGTCCAATAAATGAAAAACATCCTGCAGATTTACATTATGATTCATAAAAGGAGCAAAATTACAGTTATGAAGTAGCAATGAAAATAGTTTTATAGTTGGGGGTCACCACAACATGAGAAACTGTATTAAGGGGTCAAAGCATTTGGAGGGTTGAGAAACACTGCTGTTAGGAATTGTGGGAGTTGAAGTCTAAAACACCTGGAGGGCCGAAGTTTGCCCATACCTGCTCCAGAACATACCACTGCTTGTGCAGACTAGGAAAATGTTTTTTTGAGCAAAAAACCTTGTCTTCTACCCAAAACACAGTTTCCTTGCATAAAAGAATGCAGAATAATTCTTTCTTTCACAATACAAAAGAGAGAAAGATGACTGCAGGAGCTTTCGTTTTCTCCCCCAGTGAGGATAAGCCTCGTAATTACTCGTCCTTGCACAAAAGAATAAACCAGGCAAGGATTTACCATTTCCAAAATACACACAGAGGAAAAAAGGACACTTTTCTGATGAACGCATTTATCCAAATATGTCATATTCCAAAGTGCTTTCCTCCAAAATCTCAAATCAGCAGATTTATTAGTTCATCTGGAACACTGAGAAGAATGTTCTGTGATGGGAGTATGAAATGGTGCAGGCATGAACAATACACGATTTAATTGGATCAAAGAACTCCCCAGTGCCCTATTTTATTACAGCAGATTCACGCTGAATTTAGAGTCATGCAAAAATCAGAACAGCACTGCCTCCACAACCCATGTTGTTCAGCCTTCTGAGCAAATGAGTTAAGAATGACATGCTAATTACTGACAAAACAGGACAAAGGCATTCAGGGTTTCTTCTTGCAGGGAATATTTGGCACATCAAGCATCTACTCAATGTATACTTGTGCAATGAACAAGGAGCCAAACTGGTCAGGATGGTCCAAATGCATTATGTCTCCACATGAATTTTAAAAAGCCCTAGAACAGGGGTCCTCAAACTAAGGCCCGGGGGCCAGATACGGCCCTCCAAGGCCATTTACCCGGCCCTTGCTCAGGGCCAACCTAAGTCTGAAAGCACATTACAATAACGACAATCCTATCTCATCAACCA